CCCATGGCCGGGTCCACGTCCAGGGCCACAGGCTGAGAGAAAATGGAGAGGAAAGATGATAATATGGATTCCTCCAACACTCCCTGAATCACAGGACTGCTTTTCCCATTTCCTCTGGTTGGAGAGAATTTCGGTTTTAGGTTCCTGCTTGGCCACTGCTATCGCTGCCACTGTCACCAAGGTGCAGTTTCACAACCGGGCTTGCCTTGGCTCGGGACTGAGAGTAAAAAGAGACAAAAAGGGGGGATTCCCCCACACTCCTTGTACTGCAGGGGCCCTCCTTCCTGGTTCTCTGGTCAGAAAAACAAGCTTTCTTTTGGAGCTCTTTCTGTTCCCGTCCGCTGTGCAGTTCCAGAGTTAGGGTCCCCTTAAGCCTAAGCTGGGGACACGGGAGGGAAAAAGCCCTTGGACTCAGCACTGGCTTCATTCTTCGGGCTTCGATGTCCTTGTCCACCAGGTTTCCTTTTCAGCGTCCCCAGGGCATTAGTTTTTGGGTTCTGCCTGTAGTTTTTAGTTGGAATCAGCAGGAGAGAAAGGGTGAGGTGTGTCTCTGTCTTACCTCCCGCCCCGCCTGGAGGGCTGCTCCCCGAGCTCGCACAGCCATCTCCTCATCACCCTCACAGAGTCCCCTCCTGCCCATCATTCTCGGCCACACACAGGGTCTGAAGTGACCCGATTCACTCATTTTCCCACCTGCTTGCTGTCAGCTTCCCGCCAGCACCGTGCTAGCTCCTCGAGGATGTGGGCTCTGGCCACACTGCTCGTCCCAGGACCCAGAGCCGCTCGTCACAGGAGCGTGGCTGTTTGTGACACAGACTGGCTCACAGGAAGCCCGCATCTGATTGACTGTCAGGATCGAAAGAGCCAGGCGACGGGACGGGAAATAAGGAACTTCTGGAAAAGGCCACAGGCAAACCTCCTGCTCTCTTTGGAAGAGACTAGCATATGAAACGGGGAAAGGAGACATGGACGGGAAGCCAGCAGGAGTCCCTGGGTTGAGTGTGCGTCGCTAAGAAAATATCGTGCCTTACGGCCTAGGAGAGAGTCCGGACTGCTGGGGGCTGTTCGGACACGTGCCCAGATGGTGAGGTCAGCTTGGATGTGTTGGCTTTGTAGAGAGAGAACGTGCAGCCCTGGTTCTCCATGAGAGCACTTTTGGGGAGTCCTGCGCACCAGTGTCAGGAGCCTGAAGGTCGAGGCAGGGGAAGGGCATCGTTAGGCNGGGAGGTCGTACAAGGCAGGTGGCAGGCAGGTCATGGGCTTTAGGGAGAAGCTCACGGCTCAGTATGACTGAGGTATGGGCTACAGGTGACAGTTTGTAACAGATAAGACGGGAGGAACAGCAGCCATTCAAACAGAGGCGGGTGTAGAATGGCCTCAACTGGCTTTGTGCTGACAAGTAAAAAGGTGATTGAAGTGGGAGGAAGATCACTTTAATAAGCCGACCACGTTAGCTACAAGAGGGTGGAGGGCAGCAGGGAGTTCCAGCGTGTCCTTCCCCTGGGGGGGGGGCCCAGGTGTGCAGGAGCAAGCACCTCAGAGGCCAGGAGGGGCGAGTCCAGCAGAGGGGGGGTGGGAGCGCCCTGGGGTACAGCTAGCGCTGGAGGGGCAGAGGCAGCCCGGGTTTCCTGTGCTCTGGACTCTCTTCCCCTCACTGACCACCAATGGGAGGTTCGTTTTGGTTAGCCAGCTTTCATTTAAAAAAGTAAATATCTTGTGATGACTGTCTAGCTTGGATTTGCAGGGTCGTTCTGACTCTGACCATTTTCTGTCCTGCTGTCAGACCGTGAATCCCAGTGCTTCGTTTGAAAAAGTATGGTTACTGTAAGCAGAAGGGTTGGCCCTGGTTGTTTAATCCGATCCAGTGCCCAGCCAAGAAGGGCACGGAGCAGGCCAGGTCATCTGGGGTCGAGAGCCTGGTTCTCTGAAGGAGGAAAGCCCGGCTGGAGGGAAGGAGGGCAGAGGTGGACACAGCAAGGCACCGGTGCACACGGTCCCTCTGTGCTAGTTAGCAGGGGGCCTGAGCGGCGGAGGGGTCCCAGGCCACCGCCCTCCTGCTGCCCTGCCCGCTCACTGCAGCCCGGACTCCTCTTTCGGGCCTCTGCCACCTCTCTCGCCTTTCCCAGCGGGGGTTGCGGGGGAGGTCGAGCTCCCTGCTGGCACCACTGTTCTCCTACCTCTGTTATCAGTGTAGCTTGGTGACAGTATTTCCTAAGATGATCTTTATTTTAAATAGTTAAATAATGAATTGATTCCACAAATGTTCACGGACACCCATTCTGTCCTGTAAGGAACCCAGGATCTAGTGGGCGAGATAAAGTGAACCCCTAGCTGCAGGGTCTGCGTGACCCATCGGAGGAGGCAGGTCCCCCGGCCCCCTGGGGATTTGCTCATTGTCCTCACAGGCTGTGTAGACGGATTGAGTGTGAGTCCCGATTTTTGAGTGGGAAGGCACAGCCACTTTACTGGCTTCATTGAGCCCCTACTCATGAGAAATACATAAACATCTCTCCTCGTGAATAATGAAGAAAAGGAAACCTTGAATCCGTTTAAAATACTGTTATTGCTGCTGCTGTTTGCCCAGTAACTTTGTAACCAGATGAGTCGGCACTCAATCAGGTTTACAGACAGTAGCAGAGTGGACTGAGTTAGTCACACCCTTGAAGCCCAGGCCAAAGACCGTGAACAGTTGAAGGAAACAAGTCATTGTGACCAAGTAAGGGGCGTCGACCCTCCCTGACTATGGGAGGAAAGCAGGCACTGGGACCCCCTTGGTGACCTGGGGACATGACCTGGGGACGGTTCTCTGTGGCCCCTGTGGGTTCACCTTCACCCCAGGGCTCACTCACCCTCTGGACAGTGACTCTGAGATTCACACGGGTCCATAGATTCCTGTATATTTTTCAAAACAAACAGAATCAAGAAACCCTCGTTCAGATTGGATCATGCTCTACGTAGGTTTCTGCTGCTGCGCTTTTTGCTTCATCGCCTGTCTTGGACATGTGACCCTGCACAGTGGTCAGGGCCCCCCTGGGCCCCCCTGTGCTCCTCACACAGGCCCTGATCCTGCCTGACTGTCCCGTGGGCCCCGGCACTGCCCTGGCCGCGGCCTTCCTCTCCGGCTGTGTCCTGACCCCTCTCCCCGTTGTGTCACTCTCCACACTCTTTCTCACCTTCCTGTCTTTGCACATTCTGTCCCTCTGCCTGGATTGTCACTCCTGCCCCTTTGGCCAGCTCCTACCCAAGCTCAGGGCTGTCCTAAGTCCTTGGTCCTTCCTCTGGAGATAGATCTGTTGCTGTGTGTCTCTCCTCCCCTCCCCGCCCCCAGCACTCAGGGGGTGTGGTGGTGTAATGTGACGAGACCCAAGGCCCCAGTCTCTCCTGAGTGGTTCACCACCGTGACCCACATGGCTGCCACAGTGCCTGCCCTGCAGTAGGTGATCGATAAGTATTTGTTGAATGAACAAAAGAGTTCACATTACATGTCAGGAGTGAACTAACGGAAAGGTTATAAGGTAGCTATGTGGATGAAGACGAATGAGGCCATATATATGTAAGCTCATTTGTTTTAACCCCCACAACTGCCCTATCCAGTAGGCGTTAGTGTTCCCATTTTATGGATGGAGAAACTGAGGGTCAGAGACGGGGAGACACTCACCCAAAGCCACACCTTTGTAAGTGTCATAGCCAGGAGTAGAAAGGACATCTGTTTGATTCCTCAGTCTGGGCGCTGCCTCATACTATGACGAGCCTTCCTTCTGGGAAGTTGAAGACTGAGATTTGGGGAACAACTAAAGTCTTTAAATTTGTGCAGATTATGAATATGGGGTCTCATGGCATCTAGACTGTCCCTGTGGTGCAGGGATTGAGGCTGGCACCAGAGCACCCCTCTCACAGTTTTCAGGCTTTACTACATTGTCACACCAAATCGCTGTCACTTGCTCACTCGCCTTTATTCCTGCCATGAGAGCCTGGTGTCAGGGACCATGGTGCAGTTAGCATCATGTCCCGGTGGATAGCAGAGCGCTTGGCATGTAAGAGGTGACCAGGGAGTATTTGCTGCATCCTTCATCCCCAGCAACTCCACCACACAGGTTTGTATGAAGCTCTTGGGGCTGGGGCTGTGCAGGGAATGGACGAGACCCCAGGTCCCCGTTTATCTCCTAGAGGGGAGCAGATGGCGGACACATAAAGCTCTAGTATGTCCGGTGGGGACATGTGCGGTGAAGAAAGATAAGGCAGGGTGAGATGCCCGGGACTGATCCGATGGTGCCGTTTGCCAGAGGGGTCAGGAGATGCCTCCCTGGAGAGGTGCAGAGGTGGGCAGGGAGTTCCCGCAGGCACCCTGAGGCAAACAACAGCAAGGGGGGAGCAAGGAGGGGTGAGATGAGCGCAGAGGGCCGGAGGGGCCTGCAGCCACGGTTAGGGATGGCGTTGGACCCGGAGTGCGATGGAGAGCTGGGGTGTTGAGAGGATGAGCAGCGTGTGCTGACGTGGGCTGTGCTGACGTGGGCTGTGCAGGCGTCTCTGTGCGAGAATCGAGGATGGGGCAAGGGTGGGCACGGCAGCCACTGTGAGCTTCCTGCTGGAATCCGGGCCGTGATGCGGGCGGAGGCCATGGACCCTGGGAGAGCCAAGGGCACGTGTTGACAGGTTGGATGTGGGCTGTGACAGAAAGCGGGGAACCGAGGCTGACCCAAGGCTCGTGGTCTGAGCAAATGGAAAGACAGAGCTGCCACTTCTGAAGTGGGCAGGACTGGGAGGGACACGCCGGGCAGGGCCCGGGGCCGGGAGCTCGGCTTTGGCCTTGTTCGGGCTGATAGCCCGGAGGAGATGCCCCCGAAGCCATTGGAGACGTGAGGTTGGAGGTGTGGGAAGAGGGGGCCGGCCTTGTGGGGAGACCAGCAGGAAACAGATGGGCCTGCAGCCCCGAGGACATCCCCGGGCGCGGTGCCACCGGCGCGGAGGCCACCAGCTGGATGGTGATGTCACTGGGAAACACGGGGCCACATTTTAAATTGATTCCGACAGTGATTGCACATATTAGGCGCTGCATAATTTTTGGTGAATGAATAAATGAGTGACTACAGATAGGTCTTTCCAGAAAATCCCAAAACCTTTTCATTAGACACGTGAGTCATAACAGGTCCTGCTTTATACTGCAAATAACCTCTTATGGCAGATCCCGGGACTTGATCAGGGACCGATGGAAATGAGGGGTGTTGGGACCCCCTCAGCAACTTTTCAAGACTGAGACATGGAAAGTACCTGTGGGGGATAGCACAGGCATCGGTCTAGACAGAGCCAGGCACTTGCTGCGTGACCTCAGGCAGCAGCAATAGGGACAAACCACATTTTAGAGAGCTTACAAAACCCGTGAGACACGGTGTAAGTGCTTTGCATGCGTTGGCATATTCAACCCTCACAGCCGCCTGTGGAGCTAGAGATTATTCTAACTCCCATCTTACAGATGAGAAAATGGGAGAATGGCAAGGTTACGTACTCGTATCTTGTCCAAGGTCACACACTGCTAGTAAGCGGCAGAGCTGGAACTTGAAACTCAGCAACGCGCCTCCAGTGTGTGGCCTCAGCCCTGCAGCACCCCCTCGACACCCACCTGCCTCTGTTTCCTCATCTGCAAAATGGGGATCCCTGTGCCCTCGTGCAGCATGGCCTGGGGAGCAAATGCGCCCATGCATCGTCCTTGGGGCCCTGCAGGCACACAGGTATCAGGCGGGACCTGAGCTTCGGGGCGGCCATCAGAAGCAGCACCGGCACCTGGGCCCCTCAGGATGAAACCCACTACAGTGCTCGTTACCCTGTAGACCAGGCGCCAAACGTCATGCAAGTTATATGGAAACCTCAAAAGCCAGATTTTTATCCGTGCTGGGGAGCTCCAGCACTGTTTTTTCCTTCTGGTGCTGGTATCGGGGCAATAAACCGCAGGCGTGAAGGGGCAGGAAGGGTCTGTTTGTCCCTGTCCCGAGCTCGCCATGAGGAGAGGACACTGGAGGGCGTGGTGTGTGCATTCCCCCCTTCCTCAGTTTGGAGATGAGTCCATACACGCGGGGTTATGGGTGCGTGGTCGGCAGCGTTCGGGAGAGGGCTCTGCCGTGTGCGTTCTGTTCCTAGGACCCCTACGCTGCCTTCTTTAAGATCGACAC